GTGCTGTGGTGGTTTTTTTCTCCTTTCTTTTTCCTGTATATGATGAAAATATCTTTGATCAGTTTTGTTTTTGTGACATGTTTTGTGGCTGTTTCAATCTGTTTTTTTGTCACAGGACATCAATATTGTATTCTCAAAACAAGAAAATGTTCCATTGCAAAGGAAACAGACAAAAAGATCCTGAATACCAATGCGTCCAAACATGTGATTTCTCTTACTTGGCAGGAACCATAGTACTGGGTTTTAATTTTGTCCAGAAAACAGCCATTGTCTGGCCCCACTTGCCCTTTCAGCAAGCTGGACCCATCGTTCATTCACTTAACAAATACTTACTACATATAAGCTGTGTGCCAGGTGCTTCCCTAGATGCTTTTCTAGGCACAGTGGAAATTCTGATGAGCCACACATGTAAGGTCCCTGCATTCACACAGCTGACATTAAGGATGGGTCTTAGATAGATAGTAAAACAAGGAAACAAAGAAGGAAACTAATTTTAGAGAGCAGTGAATGCTGTGAAAGTAATAACGGCAGAGTAACATGACAGAGTGACCCAAGGTGGTAGAGTCACTACTACTTGGACCTAGGCTCTGGTACTCATGCATCTGACCCTGGCTGTGCAGATATATGTCTTGTGACAGTGCCTTCTACCTGGTGCTAGTTTTCCCTCCACTTCCCAGAAAGCCCCAACCTCTCCCCAGCTTACAAATACCAGCTACACAGATTTAAATGAGCTTCCTCTATCATTAAACACAATCAAAATATCAAGGACTAGAATCAGTGCTTGGGGGAAGGCTGCGGAATAGGGTCAGCCTGGAGTGACTCTGAGGAAGTTCCTTGCATCAGTTTTAGGGCCCTGTCTCCACACCTGTGGGCTGGGGTTACTGGTCACTGACTCTTAGACTGAGGACTCTCCTTTCTATACCTCACCTCTATGTCTTCTGAACTCCAGACACACACGTGCAAGGGCCTGATGGAAATGTGTTTCAGTCTGCTGAAAAGGTAAGTGTTCTATTGGCATCTCAAATTCTGCAAAACCTAGTTCCCCTGACTTTTATCCCCAACTTCAATCTATCACCTACTCTTCATCTCAACAAATGATATTACCTTCTTCCAAGATGTGTCCCAGGGGTAATGCTTGACTCTTCTCCAATATTGAATAAGCACCAAATCTAGTATTTCTTCCTCCATATGTATATTGAATTACCCTCTTCTCTCCATTCCCTCTGCTGTTACCTTACCTCAGCCCATTACATTCTGTCTACATTAACCATATTCTTGGTCCTTCTGTCCAGCTATTTCCACCGTAGCCTCAGATTCTTTTCTAAAAGAAAAATCTAATGAAGACACTGTACTGCTTTAAATCCTTCCATGGCTACCCATTGCTCTCACATAAAGTTGAAACTTTTAGACATGGTGGCCTACAGGCCTGCAGTGATATGGGCTTGCTCCTTGCCTATTAACCTCTCCCAGCAACTCCCTGGCTCCAGTGTCTATGCTCCATTTGTCAGCTCTTCAGTGGTGTTGTATGTTCTTCTGCCCCTGGTTATTGCAGACTTTCCCCAACATCTGAAACACTTCTTCAGTCCCACTTCAGTATCTCTGATCTGGATAAGATATATTTCTTTTGAATGTCTAAAAGTAAAGCCAGTTCCCCTGGAAAACCTCTAACCCTTACCCCCAGCCCAAAGTCTGGGTTAGGATCCCTTGTATGTTCTTATTGCCTGTTTACTTGTTTGTCTATATCTAGGCTATTGATTACATGAGAACAGCAGCTATTTCTGTCTTGTTTGCCATTGTACCTCCCAAACTAGCATAACGCCTGGCACAAAGTGGGCCTGCAATGAATACTTATTGAATAAATTAATGGATGGCTATATTTCCTTTAAGTATCTTAGTTTCTTTACCTATTCTTAAAAAAACAGAAACACACACACAAAACCACCCTGTATAAATTAAAATATGTACTTATTATGAAAACTGGTAAAATACAAAAAAGCAATAGAAAAAAAAGTCTATCATCCATCTCATCACAAAATAATAGTCATTGTTATCTCATTCTTATATATATTTTTTCATTGTTGAAATTACATTGTGTCTACAGTTGTTTGTCTTATTGTGGTAAAGTATACCAAACATAAAACTTAGTATTTTAAAATGTGCAGTTTACATTGGCAGAAAAATCTCAGATATTTCACACAGCAAGTTTTTACTGATGTGTCCCCTAGAGCAAGGAATATAAAGGAAAGAATAAACAAATGGGATCTCATCAAAATTAAAAGCTTCTCTGTGGCTAAAGAAAACACTATTAAAATAAAAAGAGAACCAACTGTATGAGAAAACATATTTGCCAATGATACCTCAGACAAAGGTTTAATCTCCAAAATATACAAAGAACTCACACAACTTCACTCTAAGAAGACAACTAACCCAATTAAAAAATGGAAAAAGGACTTGAACAGACACTTCTCCAAGGAGAACATACAGAGGATCCAGAGATACATGAAAAGATGCTCAATATTGCTAGCTATCAGAGAGATGCAAATTAAAACCACAATGAGATACCACTTTACACCAGTCAGGATGGCTATCATAAACAAAGCAACAAACAACAAATGTTGGAGAGGTTGTGGGGAAAAGGAGTCCCTAGTTCACTGTTGGTGGGATTGCAGTCTGATACAACCATTATGGAAAACAGTATGGAATTTTCTAAGAACACTAAAAATGGACCTGCCTTTGATCCAGCAATTCCACTGCTGGGATTATATCCTAAGAACCCTAAAACACCAATCCAAAAGAACCTATGCACCCCGATGTTCATAGCAGCACAATTTATGATAGCTAAGAGCTGGAAGCAACCTAGGTGCCCGTCAGTAAATGAATGGATCAAAAAATTGTGGTACATATACACAATGGACCTCTATGCAGAAAAAAGACAGAAGGAGCTCCTACCCTTTGCAACAGCATGGATGGAACTGGAAAGCATTATGCTGAGTGAAATAATCCAGGCAGTGAAAGACAAATACCATATGATCTCACCTTTAACAGGAAGCTAAACAACAAAACAAATAAGCAAAATAAAAACAAAGACACTGAAATAGAGAACAGGGGGACAGCAACCAGAGGGGAGAGGGGAGGGAATTTCAGGGGAAAAAGGGGAGGGATTTAGAGGAACTAGAATAAAGGACACATGGACAACAGCTAAGGGGGGTGGAAATGGGAGGGAGGTGGGGAGCACAGGGTGGGGGGTTTGGGAAGGGAGTAAAAGGCAGAAAACTGTACTTGAAAAATAATTTAAAAAAATAAATAAAGTGTGCAGTTCACTGGCATTAAGTATGTCCACATAGTTTTACAATCACCGCCACCACCCGTCTTAGAATTTTTGTCTTCCCAAACTGAAACTCTGGGCCCATTACACAGTAGTGCTCTATTTCCCCTCTCTACAGTTTATTTTTGTTTGGGATTGTAGCAAAGTGGAATTGGCTGTCTTCAGAATCCTCACTTAGTCCACGTGAGCACTTCCATTTATTTTCTAGGGATTTTGAGGATCCTATGGTAGATACAATCCTTCCTAGAGTCCTGGTGCTGTCAGGTGTTTGTCAGGGCAAGTTCCAAGTGAATGACACATTTCTGCAATCTCACTTTGTACTGTACTTCCTCATGCCAGGACCCATATGTGTAGGCATCCATGAAAATATTTTAAGTTCTATTAAGATCCAGAGAAAATGAATTTTTAAGTCAAAGAAAATGTTTTAATATACAATATTAGTATATTTGCCTTTAAATAAATAAACAGAATTATAAAATATGATTTAAAATGTACTTTATGGAGGAAGAAGCTCATGAAGAAAGAAGTGCCTACATAATACAGTAAAAAGCTCTCAAATTACAAATAAAAAAAACCCAATGAAGTAGAATCACTGAAGCTTTTAATGCAGGTGGTTTATCCTTTGGTCAATTTCCATCTCTTAATAAAGAAATCTTTCAAAATATTAACTATATGTAATTAAGCAGGAGTACATCTTAAAATTTCAAATTTTAGGTTAGGTCTTTAATTCCTAGGATGTTTGAAGTTTTAGCTCCCCATTGCTCTCACATATCTAACCTCACAATTAGATATTTTTCCTAGAATTATTTTTTGATTTGAAATAAATCCAGATGTAAACTAAAAACAGGCCAATCTGATAACTACGCAGCATTGATCTTATGTATTTAAAGGGTATTCCAGAAAGCAGTGTGGCCAGGAACACAGGTGTGAGACTTTAAAAATGTAGGTCAGGGGTCTTTGTCACCTGGGTTTTCTGTTTTCTTAGTTTTGGTCACTTAAAGATTTATGACATCATTTTTCTGAGGGAAAGTATTATAAATCATTCCAATTCCATTCTATAGCACTTAATACCATTCTGAGCATTTAATAAGCATCTGTTAGGAACATTTTTAGCTTGATGAGATATGCATTTAGAATTGCTCAAATTGGAGGTATCAATGGTAGGAATTGGAATTCTTTTATGTAATTCTAAGTTATTTGACTTAAATTTAAAAGGATGGTTTTCCTTGGGAAGGGGATGGTTAGGGAAAGAAGGAAAAATCCTATTATTCATAAACTTCTCTGGGAAAATAAATTTTGAAGACAGTCTGTTTTTGAAAAAAACACAAAGTCACCTGTTCTGTGCTTTACACTCTCTTTCTCTTTTCCTCCAACAATCATAAATGATTATGTTTTTTTGAAAGTACTGAATGCTATCCTACTTGTCAAGTTAAAAATATAAGCTTTGGCCAGAGTCAGAGCTCCAAGCTGCCTGCAGGTGCCTGGAAGGGCAGCCTTGCAATTAGAAAGGCTCAGAGAGAGATGATTCACCCCCTGCAGCAGTATGACCTCTCCCTCCAAGCCCTGTCCAACTAGATACCGAGAAACAGGTCCACCAAGAGAGAAGGGAATAAACATGTTTGATTGGATTGCCCTGGGAAAAATCATTTTAATTTCTTGCTTGTCTTCTTAACAGTTCTCCAAAGCTTCGTACTTTGGCCAGAGGTTTGTCTCCTGCGTACCTGAGATTTGGTGGCTCCAAGACAGACTTTCTCATTTTTGATCCCAAGAAGGAGCCAAGCTTTGAAGAGAGAAGTTACTGGCAATCTCAGCTTAACCAGGGTAAACCTTTTTAAAGATTAACCATATATTTTCATTAACTTGAGTAAGTCCTGGACATTCAATAAGAGAGTCAGGGCTCCTGACTGATCAGTGGAGGCACCCACATAAAAGAAGGAAGCAGTGGGCAGGTTTCCTCCTTCTGATGTTTTCATGAAATGTGACACCTTACAAAAAAAGGTGTGCTTGGGCACAAATGAGAGTTAGTTGTGTGTAAATAGAACAATGATAGCAGCCGAAAGGCAGAACTATTTAGAGGGAGCATTTCCGGCCGAAGGCACAGCAATGGATTTGAAACCATTTTATTCCAGAAATAGAATGTGGATGAAAGTTATGGGAAAAGGACGTGAGATATACTCTGCATTTAAAATAGACTTTAAGACTTAACTTATAGGACAGTGGTTCTCAAACTTTGTTGACTATGCTATCTGGAATGACTTTGGATATTTGGATAACTGAGCTCCAACCTTGGTTCCAAGTTTAGCGAATTTCTCAGGTACTGTATTTTGCTGTGTAGAATGCGCCCCCACATTTTTAGTACAAACTTGCAGGAAAAATCTTTTGTTTTAATTTTTAATTCAATTTTTGTTTATTTATATTTAGATAACTTGGTTTTTGTATTGTAAAGGAATTTTAGCATTTAGATTTGAACATATGGATATCATTATTGCTTTCTAGAGTTACAGTTTTAATGCATAAGCATAAATAAAAGAATTAAAAACATTTACATAGATACAGAATTAGTATTTTCCATGTAAAATGTGCATCCTTATTTTTCCCTAAAAAATCTGGGCAAAAGGGTGCACATTATATATGGCAAAATTTATAATATATATGGTAATTCTGGTATGGAAAGTCTGTTGGGTTCACCTGAGAAACCTGCCCTGGGAAGCCACGAGAATTTGCAACGTGTTTTTCATTAAGTGCTATACAGGCATCAAATGGAAGCTGAATCATTATCTTAATAATTATAAAAATATGTACTTTATTGAAAAATATATGTATAATGTATATATTAATGAATAATATTTCATTTTTCACATAGTACATATTTTTCTGCTGTTTATTTTCTTCAGTTAGCAAGTATTTAGAATAGTTGCCCCATAGTTGGGTCAAAATCGACAGAATAGTAATTAGAAAAAAATTTTTAAAGCAGGAGAGTTCTCTTGGAACAATGCTTTGGAATAGTTTATGTTTAGACTTGGCCCTTTCCCACCAGTTATAATGTGTTCAGAAGGTCTCATAAGTTTAGACCAGAAACTTTCCTTTGCTCATCAATATTCTTCATTCTGTTTGGGGTCAGGGGAGTGGGGGGCACGGGAATTATCCAAATGCCTCTGAAACATCCTTTGTGAGGGTAAGGATGGAAAAGGCACTGGCTGCCAGAAAGCCAGAGTGTGCAACTTCCCAGAAAGGAAGTCATTGGTGGGTCAGCCAACCCTGGCAGCAAGTGCCTGGCAGCCCTGTTGTCTTGTGATAAAGAAGCACAGTCTGCCTGAAAGGACACTGGTGGGTTTTCCAAGTGCACGTGTTGTGGTCTTAGAAGCTTTGAAGATACCAAATTTGGAAGGAAAGAAGTCAACATTTGCTGTCCTACCATTATGGCAAGAAGATATTGCCACAGATCAGATATAGTCCATGTAAAGCAAATTTCTATGTATTTTTGAAGGTGAACCTTAGGAATACTGAAGTATGCTTTCTTCAGAGAGATTCTCTGGTAATTTCAAGTTTCCGAGGAGCTTTCTGAATTGGAAAATGACTTGAGGTTGTGTCCAGTGTTTGACCAATGTTTCTTAGGAAACATGCCCTTTGTTCATGGTAACTGGTTAGCCAGCAAACTTGACTTTATCTACCTAAAGAAATGTAGGGGTTTCAACTTTATCACTTTGAAACAGTTATCCTAAATTGTCTTTCATTTGCAGATATTTGCAAATCTGGATTCATCCCTTCTGATGTAGAGATGAGGTTACAGTTGGAATGGCCATTCCAGAAGCAATTACTACTTAAAGAACAATATTACAAAAGGTTCAGGAACACCACCTACTCAAGTAAGAAATGAATGGCACTCTGCAAGTGTCCCAGCCCCTAAACTATTTGGAGCTTGAACGTGAACTTGAATCTAATGAGCCCTACCGCAGTATGAAGCTGCATAATACTAAAATGTTATTAAGACTTAATGGGAAATCTTGAACCCAAAACTTCTGGCAGGGGCGAGGGAGGGTTTCTTCACCTGCCTTTACCTACTACCACACAGTAAAATATACAAATCATTTACTCACAATCTAATAATAACCTTAGCTTCTCTGAAGAACTGGGAAATCAAGGAAGACACGGATGCATTCCTCATGTAAAACACAAAAGTATAAAGAGCAGAATGTGAAAACATTCACGCCTTGTTGTCCATTCTCTCTCCCCTTCAAGAAGCAATCCCTGTGAAGAGTTGGTGTATCATCAGGCTGGGGAATCCTGGGCCTCCCCAGATAGGCTTGGCCACCAAGCAGCTTTCTCTTTTTCTTTCCTCTGTGGCTTTGCAAACTCAGGAGAAGCTCACTAACCAGGAATTTATTTTCATTCACTGAACCAGTCTTCAAAATGGGATGATGCTGTCATACAGGGCTTTGAAGCAACTGAAACAAGCAAGCCTTTTTTAACTATAAAATATATCATTTTCTCAAAGTTGATGTTTTATACCCACCTAAGGGATGATGTTGCCCCAGACCTTGGTTAAGGAAATAACTTGCTCAGATAGTCTACAACTGTCTTCTTTTGACTTTTGAAAAATAAATGATCTTGAAGTTAATTTGGAATAGTCAATATTTCTTTTTCAAAGTATATTTTATTGGTTATGCTATTACAGTTGTCTCATTATTTTCTTCCCTTTTATACCCCTCTTTCCAGTACTCCCATTCCCTCCAGCATCCCTCCCCCACCCCCTTAGTTCATGTCCATGAGTTGTACATATAAATTCTTTGGCTTCTCCATTTCCTATACTTTTTTTAACCTCCCCTTGTCTCTTTTGTACCTACCAATTATGTTTTTTATTCCCTGTACCTCATCCTCCATTCTCCTTTCACCCCATCTCTGCTCATAACTCTTCATGTGATCTCCATTTCTGTGATTCTGTTCCTGTTCTGGTTGTTTGTTTAGTTTGTTTTGTTTTTGCCTTTTTTTTTAGGGTAAGTTGTTGATAGTTGCGAGTTTGTTGTCATTTTACTGTTCATAGTTTTCATCTTCTTCTTTGTCTTAGACAAGTCTCTTTAACATTTCATATGAGGGCTTGGTGATGCTGAATTCCTCTAACTTGACCTTATCTGAGAAGTACTTTATATGCCCTTCCATTCTAAATGAAAGCTTTGCTGGATAGAGCAATCTTGGATGTAGGTTCTTGCCTTTCATAACTTGGAATACTTCTTTCCAGCCCCTTCTTGCCTATAAGGTCTCTTTTGAGAAACAAGCTGACAGTCTTATGGGCACTCCGTTGTAGGTAACTCTCTCATTTTGTCTTGCTGCTTTTAAGATTCTCTCCTTATCTTTAATATTGGCTAAGGTAACTATGATGTGCCTTGGTGTGCTTCTCCTTGGGTCCAATTTCTTTGGGACTCTCTGAGATTCCTGGACTTCCTGGAAGTTTATTTTCTTAGACAGAATGGGGAAGTTCTCCTTTATTATTTGTTCAAATAACTTTTCTACTTGTTGCTCTTCCTCTTCCCCTTCTGCTACCCCTATAATTCAGATGTTGGAATGTTTAAAGATGTCCTGGAAGTTCCTAAGCCTCTGCTCATTTTTTAAAATTCTTGTTTCTTCATTCTTTTCTGATTGGATGTTTCTTTATTCCTTCTGGTCCACTCCCTTGATCTGAGTCCCAGTTTCCTTCCCATCACTATTGGTTCCTTGTACATTTTCCTTTATTTCACTTAATTTAGCCTTTATTTTTTCATCTAATATGCAACCCAATTCAACCAATTCTGTGAGCATCCCGATGACCAGTGTTTTGAACTGTACATCTGACAGGTTGGCTATCTCTTTGTTGCTTAGTTGTATTTGCTCTGGAGCTTTGATTTGTTCTTCTGTTTGGGCCAATTTTTTTTTTGTATTGTCCCGCCTATTATGTAGTGAGGGGCAGAGTCTTAGGTGTTCACTGGAGTGTGGCAACCCAAGTCACTGGTTTGTGATGCTGACTGTGGGATAGGGGTCAGAAAGGGAACAATGGCGCTTGCTCTGCTCTCTGCCATATTTCAGTCACTCCCCCTACTTCCCACAAACAAATTGGACCCTTCTGGTACTGATTCTTGTGTGGGTGGGTTTGTGTAAGTCCTGGGTTTATATACATCTCTCCAACAAACTCTCCTGTGAGTCTGGGAGTTTCTCCTGGCACCTCAACCCCCACAGGTGTTTTAATTGGTGCTTTGAGGCTTTGTTTCCCTGTGCCCGGACCCTGGGTTGCATGGTCTGTTTCAGCCCCCAATTTCACCTGGTTTATGTACATGTAAACGTAGGACTGGAAGTGCCGCACCCCTCTACAATCTGCTACCTCATTGGGTCCACCCGCTGCCACCTTGCACACTGGTGGTCTGCCAGCCACCCTGCAGGGATCTCTCTCCACCCTAGCTGCCTGACTCCATCCCTGCTATCCATCTGGATGAATGTGTCTACTTTAACTCCTTGGTTGTCGGACTTCCATACAGTTCAATTTTCTGTCAGTACTGGGGATTTTTTGTTTTGAATTTGTCATTGTCCTTATTTTGGTTGTGGGAGGAGGCACAGTATGTCTACCTATGCCTCCATCTTGGCCAGAAGTCTGTTTAATTTTTCAACCAAGCTCAATAAGTTCTGTGAGCATCTTGATTACCAATGGAATTTTAATTCCACATCAGATAGGTTGGCTATCTCCTCATCACTTAGCTCTTTCTTTGGAGTTTTGCTCTGTTCTTTCATTTGGGCCATATTTCTTTGTCGCAGGGCTCCTGTGAAGTTGTAAGGGGGCAGGGCCTTAGGTATTCTCCAGGGCAGGGCAACCCTCTTTGCTGCATTTTGGTGCTTTCTGTGGGGGAGGGGTCAGAGAGGGAAAAACGCAGCTTGCTTGCTGGGCTGTAGCCCCACTTTCCAAAGAACTGTCATGTGGGACTGGGAGTTTCTTCCACCATGGCAACCCCTGCCATAGCCCACAGTCAGCTTTGAGTCTCAGTTTCCCATTCAGCCAGCCCTGCCCGCATGGTCTGCTGCCTTGCCCCAGGTTTTCTCGGTCTGCCCGTCTGCTCTGTCTACCTCCTACCAGTCTGGTTGACTGTTTCTTTAATTCCTTGGTTGTCAGAGTTCCATGCAATTTGATTTTCTGGCACTTCTGGTTGTTTATTATTTTTATATTTGTTGTTATCCTCCATTTAGTTGTGCGAGGAAGTGAAGGGTTTCTACCTAAATCTCCATCTTGGCTGGAACTCTGATTACCAGTGTTTTGAACTCTATAACTGATATAGGTTGGCTATATCCTCATCACTTAGTTCTTTTTCTGGAGTTTTAATCTGTTCTTTCATTTGAGCCTTATTTCTTCGTCTCAGAGCATCTGTTATATTGTAAGGGGAAGAGCCTTAGGTATTTGTCAGGATGGGGCAACCCACTTCCCTGCATTGTGGCACTGTATGTGGGGGAGGGGTCAGACAGGGAACAATGCCATTTGCTTGGCTCTCCACAGCTTTTAGTCACTTCTCCTACTACTCACAAGTGAATTGGGCCCTTCTGGTGCTGGTTCCCAGGTGGGTGGGTTTGTGTACATTCTAAGACCCGTGGTTCCTTCCTACAAACTCTCCTGTGAAACTGGGAGTTTCTCCTGCCACCACTACACCCACATGTTTTTACAGCCAGAGTTTTTGAGACTTTATTCCCCATGCTGGAAACATGGGTTTTGCAGTCTGTCTTGCTCCCCAATTGTTCCTCCCAGTTTATCCACACTGAATGCGGAACTGCCCAGTCTGCCAGCCACTGCCTTGCCTCACATCCTCTGCATCCCAGCTGCCTGTCTCCACCCCTCCTACTGGTCTGGGTGAATGTTTCTTCTTTAACTCCTTAGTTGTCAGACTTCATACAGTTTATTTTTCTGGCAGTTCTGTTGTTTTTTAAAAATTGGTTGTTATCCTTTGTTTGATTGTGCAAGGAAGCAAAGCATAAGTACCTATGCCTCCATCTTGGCTGGAAGCCAATCTTTCTAAAAGTAGATTATTGAAAATAAATTATCTTTGTAAGATTTTAATGTACATTATTCAGATTTCAGTGTATTCTGTGGATTTTTAATTTTTTTGTATATGAGATACAGAATAAAATACACACATAAGAAATCAGAAAATATGTTACATACTAATAGATAATGCAGTTTTCTAAATTATTTTTTGCATTTTAAAATGGGGGGACTTCTCTGACACTTTAATAACATGATCTATGGTTGAACAGAATTTGGCATAAGGCAGGGCAATCTCTGATCCCATTAAAGGGACAATGGAAGTATAAGAGACCTGCAGCTGTAAGATCTCATTTGCAACAAATCTTTATGGTGTAGGCCTGCTAGGAGAACACCCACATCATTAAGTAATCTATAGGTTCCCACTTTTTTATTATGTTAAACATTTTATCAGTTTATCTTCAATTTTCCCAATTAAAAAGTAAAGGCTTTCTACCTCACATGATCTTTTGAGATTCAGTATAGTAGGTTTTCAACATTTTTCCTGCCTGTGGGACTTGGACCTTCATAGTTCCTACACCAGGGAAAAGTTCCTTTGCTAACTACATAGTAACAGTATAATTTTAGCCATACTCTTGGCAATGAGAAAATATATAATAAATACAGACAGTTTATTTGTATTTATAAACATTTGATTTCTCTTTTGAAATGTTCTATTTTAATCTGAATGACTTGCAAACATATAAATAAGAACCTACTGTGTTTATTTTGGCTACAACTCATTATCGTGATGAGTATCTCAGAAGCCAATAGGAGTTTCCACCCACTGTTCCTTATCCATAGCTGAGGTTGGTAATACCTGAGCAAACTGGAATGGCA